GGGTGGAGGGAGGGTTGGAAGCGGCACCACTTGCAGCGACGTCAGGCAGCAGCAGCCGTCATCCAAGAAATGAGAATGGCTTGCGGGCGTACTAATTTCTCCATAGAAAAGAATGTGGCCTAGATGCGGAATGCGAGCAGGGATTGGCGCTGGCAGCACGGCGGGGCGGGGTGGGGCGGGGCGTGGTGGAGCGTGGCGGGGCATGGCAGGGCATGGCGGCCCAGCAGAGCGCGGAGAGCGGAGCGCACTGCACGTCGTCCGCACGCGCCAAAAAGTTTGCCTGTTGTTTTGTGTTGGCGATGGTGCGCGCGGCGAGCGGGGACATGCGGCGACATGCACTGCAATAACGGAGAGTTGGGAGGATGTGTGTACCTTATTCTTCTTCTCTCTCGCACTCTTACACCCACACACATACATACCACCACCACCAGGCTGGCCAGAGGTCAAGTCCTTATCGGGCGGTGGTGGGACAAGGCCCGGCCGGGACTGCCAGGGCGTGCCCGTGCCAGGGCTTCAGCAGACTCTTTTGTTTAACTATCTCCTATCCTCTCCCACTCTCTCTCACACACACATACAAACACACAAACGCAGTCCACTCGTTCTCTTTATTCCCCCCATACCCCTTCCCCGTGCCTACCCCACGATAAGTCACCCGCGCCCTCCAAATAGGGTAGTTAGCCTTTCCGGGACTCCTCCTCCCCTCTCGTTTATCATACCCCACCCGGGATACAATTTCTTATTTATAGCTGTCCGAGCCAAATGGAGGCGTCGTTTAGCTGCGATATCAAAGACGACCGCCCGAATAATTTTTTTTCGACGTCCAGACATGCACCTCCTCCCTCAGAAAAAAAAAGACAAAAAAGAGGGGCAGCAGAGAGCGAATACGAAGAGCGAGCGCGAGCTTCGGGCCGGATGCGCGTGCGAAGAGCGTGTCGTCTCCCGCCTCAGCCAAGCAACCTCCTCCCCCCACCACCCTCTCCCCCGCGGGACGCACTCAACACACAGATGCCGTAATGCGCCATATTTCCCGACGACGCGGCGTTGGCAGGAAAGAAAGAGGAGGTATATGGTGGCAGGCAAACAGCGAGAGAGAACACTACTCAGACGGCGGCGGCGGGGTGGTTTGAGCCGCGCGATGGAGCGAGAGGGATGGGAGACAGAGAGGCCGCAGCCGCGGCGGCCACAGTCGCAGTGCTCATTGGCGGCGCCAGGTGCACACGGGTGCGCAGGTGCGCAGGTGCTTATCACGACCCACCCCAGAGCTCCCCAGCGGCGGTAGCATCCCCAGCGCCGGATCTCCCTCTTTCGCTCAGCCCGTCCCTGTCCCCCTCCGAGTCGGCCACAATGTCAGGCAACGCCGCCAAGCAATACCTGCGCCGGGTGGAAGTTTTTTTTCCTTCTCTCTCTCTCTATCTCTCTCTCTCTCTCCCTGTCCGCTTTTCCGCCCAGCCACAGAAGTAGGACTCGTGCCCAACCCTCCTCCTCCGTCAAGCAAATCGAGGCGAAGTTTGCGGGACTGGCACACAAGCAACGGCAGTAGGGCTGAGGGGGGTGTGGCGGGCGTGGCGGGACGGGGAAAGGGAGCGCAATCTGCAGTCCGACAAGCGCGGTGTGGCCGTCAGCCCGGGGACGCCATAGTCGACTCAACAAACCACGGACATTGCGTTCACAAATTCGGGTTTTCGAAAATCAAAACGACGCAGCGCAGGACCTAGGGTATCATTCACACTGCAGCAGCCAGCAGTCTCGGCCATCCCAGCGCCGGTGGAAGATGATGGTGCGCTCGGCATCCTGGCCGGGGAGAGGCAGCGCCTGTAGTAGAGCGTCCTTGACGGCGGCGGCGTGGAGCGGCGGGAAGGGTAAAGTACCCGACGCCATCTTGACGGGTGATGGAGCTCGGCCAACGTCTCGGGGGCTGAGCCAGGGGGGCCAGGGGCCAAAGGGCCTGGAGGGCACCAAAGACGCCCGAGCGAGAGAGAGAGAGAGAGAGAGAGAGAGAGAGAGAGAGAG